CTGTTGGCCACATGTCGGCAAAGTTGTGTGACATTAGTGATGTTTGTACTGTCAGCGTTAACTTGGTTTTAAAGCCTCTACTGATATATATATATATATATGTATATAGCATATTATATTTACATTACCACGGTGGGATGATTTTAGTCTCATGAACAACATCAGCTAATTGTTATTTACTAACTAATCTTAAAATGACTGTTCAGTACAGAAATGACGTCCAACAATCATGTTTTACAGTCCTTTGGTCTCAGCCTCAGATACTCAACTAATCAAAGTGATGTCATGACAAAAATGAATGACCAACAAAACATTTTTTCTCCTTCATTTCTGTCAAACAAAGCTGTATGTGACATTTCTCGCGGTTAGTATCATGGTTGCTAGGCAACCTGAGCAGCACGGCGAAGGCTAGACCGTCCCATTTCACAAGCCTCTCACTTCCGCACTTCTCGTACTTATAGTACGCACCGTACGTAGTGCGCGTAGTGCGCGTAGTGCGCGTACTTCAAGCGTGCAGACCCTGAATTGTCTGATAAGGCTTCAGATGAATCAACTGAAGGTACAGATGCATCTCTGCAGTCCCGTGCCAGGGTCTTTGCTGGATTTTATTCCTCTTGTTTCTTAAAAACACGACTTTCAGACACCAGTCATCTTCTGTAAATAGTTTTTAAATCTGAAACTTGTTCTTTTGTCCTCCACTTTCACAATTTTTTCAAGGACTTACTGCAAACATTGTGGAGATAAGCTTTCAGCTAATGCCTCTTTGGGAATCATCATGAAAAAAAATACTATTTTATTCCTGTCAAACTGTCTTATCCTTGGCATTTTTCATAAATTCAACTAAACAAGTGGAACAAGTTATCTGTTTTTGCAACAGGCTGCTACTAACAAATGGCCTAAAGATACAATTTAAATAGGTCCTTTGCAAAGTTGTCTTTTATGTGCAGACACAACACTGGTTCATCCCTTGAGTTTGGTGCTTGAATGGTTCATAGATCAGAGTAGGATATAAACCCCCCCCC